GGTGTGTGTGTGTGTGTGTGTGTGTGTGTGAGTGTGTGCGCGTGCGTGGGTGTGTGTGCGTGCGTGCGTACCTGTGCGTGTGTGTGTGTGTGTGTGTGTGTGTGTGTGTGTGTGTGTGTGTGTGTGTGTGTGTGTGTTTAAGGCTGGCAGCTCTGTTTATTAGCCTTCACAGTGAGATACATACTCACATGGGCACAACATTAGGGAAACACAACAAACAACACATCTAAGCCCTAACCTTACATTGACTTTCACATCAATATAAATAAAACAATGAGCCTCTCAACTCGAGTGAGTAATATGGGTAGAGGCTTCACTATGTAAAATGTGTTAATATGATTCCATCTTTTGGGCTTTTTTCTCTTTCAATGAAATGTATGATAGATGAAATCACTATTCATATTTCCAATGTTGTGGTTTAACACATTATGGGTGATTCTAGGTGAGGAATCATTTCATGGGCAGTGATATCCAATTGCACTCAGTGGAAAAGTAATATGCAGTAATATGCTATATTTACTGCAAACACACAGCTCTTCCACTAGCTACATATCAACCGAAACCATATATTTTCACTGTGCACAAAACGTTGTGAAACAGAGCTAATGACATACTGAAGCCTAATGGAAGATTTGGATTTCTCTGACACCTTGAGCTTTTCCAGAAAACACAGTAATAAAACTCTCACTCCTTTGCTTCATTTGTCCTCACCTTGCCAATGAGCTTTCCCCTCTTGTTCATGCAGATGTAGAAGCCTGTCTCAGCGCCCTTGATGCGTACTCGGCTCCCAAAGGTGTCCGTTTCCACAACCAGCTTAGCTAAAGAAATCAAACCAAAAGAGTTCTGTTAGGTCAGAGCAGAGCGAGTGAGTGACTTGCATGTATGCAGACATAAAAGCGTGAACAAAACACACACACACACACACACACACACACACAGCTTGAAGGACCATTCCTGGGGATTTATGCAAGCTGAAATGCTTGCAGAATGATAAAACCACGTGTCTCTCGATTCTTTGAAAGCTGAAGAGGCGATCCTGGCAGGACCATCAAGATTTATTTTTAAGTAAATATACATTGACCAGAGCTCTATGTCTCTGTGTCCCTCAGTGGGACAGAAAGACACAGGACACATGGACAGCTAACGGAGCAAGAGAAAATACTGTGATTATTCTGCTTTTGCAAAATAACATATATGTATATCAGTGTGCAGAATACAATGTGTTACACTGCACTGATCTGACATGCTCCCAAGTTTTCTCCAGAACATTAAAAGCAGATAACCTTTTATAAAACACCATTGTTATGCTTATTGGCTCGTATAAATTGTTTCATTGCCTGGACCACAGGGTTATTAAGGTCAAACACTGAATATAACCACCTCAAGGTTTTGGTCAGACACACACACACACACACACACACACACACACACACACACACACACACACACACACACACACACACACACACACACACACACACAAACAAACACACAGAGCACTGAAATGTCATTAGTAAAAAGTAAAAGTTAATCAAAACAGTAAAAGTCAAATATGGATAACATAGAAAAAAAGGAAGTGTAGAAGTAACCGACACATTAGTCCTGTTTAACAAAGACATTTTTTTGTTAAATACTATAAAATTGCGGACCACAGGCGAAATGTATAAACCCTCGAGCCTGAAGTGTCGACGCAATGAGAGGACAATTAAAGAGATTTTTTTCAGGTCAGGAGTGGAGGTAAAAGAGAATAATAATACTTTTTGCATTTTTGGAATATTTCAAAAACGTATTTTGCTTAACTATACAAATATTTTTTAAAGTACACATTTTAAAAATAAAAAGTGATCCAGTTTAACTCTTACCGTGTACGTCTCCATCCTCCGCCATGGCGTTGATCTTCTTGTTGGGCAGGACCTGCACGTGCTTGCCGCTCGTGCGGCTGTACAGCTGGTAGATCCGGATCAGCCGGCGGCTCACGCGGTCCGTCAGTTTGCTCTGCTCGCTTACATGCTGCGTGAAATTAGGCGGGGACTGATTGGTTACCTGTCAGAAATTAGATGTCATCACAGTAATCAGTATGTGTACACGAGCCATATGAATGTATTCCATACGACATGACACTAAACTGAGATGGAAATAAACTAAGCTACGATAGTGAGAGTCTGCAGGTTGACACACAGGGAGGATGTTGTTGTTTTCCCCGCGTGACAAATGTAACAAGTTCCTGAGGCCGCTACCAAACACAATGAACAGCTTCTGGAGGCCCGCGCGCTGATTACAGGCTGCGCGTCCGCCGCAGAGCGCACTGTGTGGATGTGGGTCTCTGCGCTGCGGTGGGAGGACTGTTGCTGACGGAAACATTGGCTCTGGTGACTCTAAGCCCCACGACATTTATCACTGGATTCGCAAACATTTCCCTGGCCCGTCTGTTCCCGCGCGCATCGTGCCAGGCCCGGTGTGTTCAGCAGCAACCTGCCAGCATACTGCTCTATCATATATACTGCTGTATCATATATTGTGCTGATGTCTATCCTCACCATATGCTTTAAATATTTCAAATAAAATTGCCCTAAAAAAAGGAAGATTGTAAAACATGCATATGAAAAGAAAATGAAGTAACATACCTGAGCATAGTAGCACAATGCAAATAAGTGTAGACATCTGAAAAGTAAGAAGACAAAATACAAGTTAGTTCGCACCATTAACAGTGCACACGTGAAGTGTGGAGCTGCGAGAGGAGAGGCACTCACAGGTAGCTCAGTCCGGATGGGAGGGCTCTCATGATGGATGGAGGTGAAAAGCTCTTCCAGTATATTTTCACCAGGATCCTCTCAGAGCTGCTTTCGTTACTGATCAAACTCTCAAGATCCGAGACTCCAAAATCCACAGTTAGGTCAGAGGTGCTGACGGAGAGGACACATCCCTCAGAGGATAAATGTCCATGAGAGGCTCCGCGCTGCAGGCTGGGTGCACTTGCAGGAGCGGAGCTGCGCGGTTAAGTTTGGGGGGAACTGCGGAGAGTTGGTCTGGGCTGTGCGGCGGAACCTCGCTGCTCTACGGCCCTCAGGTGTGTGTGCTCTCGCTGTAGAGCAGGCTGTAGATAGATGCTGCTCCGCTGGGTTGTGGCAGGATTGCAGGCTCCTCTGTCTGTTCATCCCACACCGCTCCACTGTCAATCCTACACACTCCCGGTTAAAGCTGGCAGGCTGATCTGCTAAGAACAAGCCCCCTTTTCTGAGGAACAAAAGCGTCCAGCCCCTGAGCCCGCCCTCCCTCCCATTGATTTAAAACATCTCCACCTGAGGAGCGCGCACACTGCAGGGGGAGAGGGTGAGGAGGAGCCGGCTGCAGCAGCAGCTTTTTGGGAGTCTAAAGATGAGTGAGGAGGATACAGTTAGAGATCACCTCCTCCCTAACCTGCAGCTTGTGTATTGACGGAGAAAAGTGTGAGACATATTAAAAGGATTACAGGCGATTAGCGCGTTTACGCCCCCCCCCCCCCCTCCCTGTCATTTGATAAAGAGAAGGGGTTTAAGTGAAGTGCAGAGACAAACAGGCTTTAAAGACTTAAAAGAAAATGTGTATAAAGGAAAGCTGAAACATGCTGATGGGTAGTTTGGGACATTCACACCTCTGTTTCTGACAGGAGAGCTGCACATTCATTATCCACTAACCGCGCCCTTTATTAAAGAAGAGCCATCATCAGTTAGACTTTATTGATTGTTTGACCATTAATTACAGTGCTCAGTATCGGCCCATCAGGGAAACAGAAACCCAGCACGGAGTGATTCATACAGGTCATAATCTGAGTGGAGAGGCTGCCTGTTGTGAAGGAGCAGTCTATAGACATTACTCTCAAGGAGCACATCAACGTTTATTCAGAGGGCTGCAGATCTTAATACTGTCTGTTGACTTGAAACATCTAATACCTCATTCACACCAACGAAACTCCGGTTCAAGCTTCGTGCTAGAGCTTTTCAGGTTCAGAACAGGTTCTTCGGTTTAGCTCCGGCTCTTTTCACACTGCCCAGAGTCCGACTGGTGCTGCGTCATTGCGTAATCGTTTGCGTCATGACGTAACCGTTTGCGTGCCTGCTCCCACTCTCCCTCTTACCCCTCTAAATCTACAAAATGCAGTAATTCCGTGCTTTCTCCTCAATGATATCCCCAAACAGCATTTGGAGCAACTATTTATGCTCTACATGATATTTGTCATATTTATTTTATTATATATTTCGAAATCACCTTGCGGGTAATAAAGGGGACTTTATGGTTGTGTAACTGAATAAAAGCTGCCATAATGTTGACTGTGATGTGTTACATTACTTTTACACAGTGGTGAGCTAATAACCCCTCACAGTACTGGAGTTGACTTTGTGGTGCCCACAGTATTGAAAGATGACAGCTCAACAGCATTTCTGTCCGTGTCACTCTGGATAAAGCACGACGCATGGGAAACCATTGGAACTATTACTTCTGAAGAGATTTGTTCACAATTTGGTCCATTTCTATTTATTTAATAGCCCCCCCTCCCTAACCCTACCCTGTTCCTACCCCTCATACCTTGATTACACCTCTCTCTCCATCAGTCCTGCTCTGCATTCCAACGTGCAGCCATCTGCCTCCCCCCATCCTCCTCTCTCCATTACCTCTCTCTCTTCCCTTTACCTCGGTGGGCTGTGTCAGTATGCTTCATATAAATTAGTTTGTAGGACCGCTTCAAAGAGCTTTTGTTGTGAATGTCCACACTGGTGAATCCGCTGATCCTGCTTCCTTACACTGTCCCCAGAACGGCAGGCCAACCGGGCACAGTGGCAGCCACTCTCTTCTTGGAGGTATACTTCCTCATCATCATCCTTATCTTTCTTTCTTTCTGTCCTGCTTTGTGTTGTCTTTGGTCTGGGCTGTTACATAATGGCAATGAATCTCCATTCTTCAGTGGGGATGTTTGCAGACAGAAGTGGAGGGTCCAGGGTGTGCATTCAATTGATGCTTCTCTGAAGGGTAGACTCCACAAAAATGGAAGACATGTATCCTTCAGCTCTTGCTAATATGCCTTGAAAGCAAATCATTTGAAAATATATAGTTTTTAAAATAATGTTATTATAATTATTATTATTATTATTATTATAATAAAACATTTTTGTTAATTCATTACATTTTTTAAGTATTTAATAAACACAACAAGATTATATGTTATGAGGCGCATATAACCACATTCATTTAGCAGTGTGTACCCAGAATGCAGGAGGACTGCATGCTAACCGGACTTCCTCTGTGTAGTAGGCCTACTCGGGGGCGCATAAGTGTTAAAACAGAATGGGCCTGTGTACAGCGTAAATTACAAACGTTATAAGGAGGAGATGGTCTGTCCCTCCCTTACATGCAACAAGTATTGTAAGTGTGAGTCATGCTTTAGCAACCTGGGGGATCCACAAAGATCGTAGGGGGGGCGCCAGGCCTCAGTAATAAAAAATAAAAAATCAAGTTCGTAGCTATTATAGGCATAAAAAGACAGAAATGTATAATTCTTTCTTTAAAAAACCAGGCTTGTCTGGATAAGCGCATTTTTTAAATTGTCCATGCCGGTTTCAGTTGGATTATTTGTCACAGTTGCTCCGATCAGATCGGTCTCCTCCATTTTGTAGATTATTTACGACTTTTGAATCCACATAAACACAACGTCAAAATCCCTTTCTGAGTCGTTTCCACTTGCGCCGTCCTTTAATTTCTTCATACAGCGGGAATCCAAATGAATTTATCCTAAATCCAATAACCATCAAAGTCACTCCAATAGTGCTCCTTAATTACACTTTCGTCAACCTTTAACAAAATACTTCACATTCCTCCTGTTTGTGACAGTAGTTGTAGCATTTTTGAGACTTTGAAACTTCAATTACCGCTGATGCCCCCCCCCCATCCCCCCCCCTTGTTGTGTTGTGTGTGTGTGTGTGTGGGAAGCTTCGCAAGCAGGAGTAATTTGGGGGGGGGGGCCTCTTGGAAAAAAGGTTGGGAAGGCCCTGGCTTTAGATGAAGCAATGCAGCTGCAGTGTTGCCTTCAGTTTTTCTGGCCCCCTTGGATGAGGCGCTGTATCACATGGAAAGGGTGGCTAACATAACAGCATGGAAGCGAAGACGACTCTGCACTTTGAGGAGCCAAGGAAGGTGTAGCTGGCTGAACGCACAGTAGTGTGACCCACAGGCTGCTTGGCCTAGTGGTACCATTCTATAATGTGACAATGGGCTCTCACACACACATTATACTATTTATGCAGATTATAATAATAGCGAATAATTCCATTAAAGCACTTTATTTAGCGCGTTTTCCAAGTTCTCAAAAAAGCGCTATACAATCAACCATGTAATACATCAATAGCTGTGCACAATACGCCAGCAGGAACAAATTAGACACAACGGCATGTCTGAGCTGCAGTGCGGTCAAGCGGCAGGATTGGAGCTGGTGTTGCATCAGCGCCCCTGACCCTGAGCATCAACCAATGCCGCACTGCGCCCAGCACCCTTTATGAGTTGTATAAAAACAGTTGGAAAGAAGAGAATTACTTAGCTTTCAAATTAAATCCTTTCAAACTATTATCAGGCATAGTATCCGATGAACGTCTATCAAATAATCACTTATGATATAAAGCCTTCAAAAGTTTGCTTTAACAATGTTTTTTTTTTAGGAGGGGGCTTCGGTCTATGAGGATCAGCCGAAGATAATACAAGAGGCAACATATCGGCAATGAGCATGTATGTGTTAAAAATTAGAGGCTTATCCACGTCTACACTGGAAAAAATTACAAAATTGAATTTAATGAAATGATTTATGTCAACACATTTGCACATAACTGTATTGGGTTAGTCTGACAGCAAATTAAATAATAAGTTGAAACTATTTTTATTTAAAGGGGACCTAATCATGCAAATAGGCACTCTTGTCGTCTTTTTATGCATGAATATGTTTCCCCGGTGGTCAGGGAACTGCACCAGTGCTGGCAGAAAACAGAACCGAGCCTGTTCTCTCTTTTCCTCGCATAGCCCAATCTTCTAAAAACAGGGTCTGTAATGCCGATCCTGATACAGACTGACTCAGCATTCACCACACTCTACTTCTTGCGAGCTCAAAAAGTGGTGCTCCGGCTTAGTGGTAATTCTCCCACCTATCCAGGGGACATGAGGGGCTTTGGGTCCAGCGGCCGGCCCATTGCCTCTCGAAACGCGGCTGGAGACGCCTGTAGTCAAATATGGCCAGGCCTGTAGTGCGGTCTGTAGTCTGCAAAACAGCCGCGAAGAAGACTTCCGTGCGGCATGGTTGCATGGTCTTGCCCTTCGCTGTTTATTCTCCGGCTGTGGCTCTTTTCTCCCCTCCGAGGCCAAGCGTTTGGCGCCTTCTGCTTTAAAACAAATGAAGTAATACTCATACTGATCCATCATGTAAGGGGATAATGGTGCGAGCGACGCGGTTCATTATGGGCAAA